GGGTAGAAAAAGGGTAGCGAGGAAAAATTCCAAAACGAGGGAAAAATATAAAAATATCGAAGAGACAATGGAGAAAAGTACCGGGAGGTTTATCAGCTTCGAGTTCTGCAAGTTTGCGTAGATAATTACAGACCTCTTCTGCGCTAACTTCGAATACACAAAGAATATGTAAACTTTCTCATGATAACGACCATAATATTATTCCTTTTATTTTTCTTTAATTATAACTTATTTCGTGTTAACCTTTTGCGGATTTTCCTTTTCATTTCTGACTGCTTGGTATTATATGAATATTCATTTTCTCGTTCCACGTATCTTTTACCAGCGTTCAAGACTGTGAAATGGAGCATCTACCGTGTTATAAACGATACGAGATAATGCGATTCAAGAGAAAAAGGACAAAAAGGGGATTAAGTATCTTTAACACCTCCAAAAATTTCGCTGAAAATTCGGTAGCATGGCGAAACGCAGTCAGCTGCTCATAAAATTTTCTGGTCATTTAATAAAGACACCTATAAGACGCGAGAACCGATGCTTCTCGTGAAACATTCCGCAAGAATTAAATATTCGATGAGACACGATGCTCTTATCGAACCACGAGACGAGGGAATTTCGTCTCTCGAATGGAGATTCTTTTTTAAAAATAAAAAAAGAAAAAGAGGAAGACAGAAATGGTCTCCTTATGGTTGCCACTAAAATCCGCGGAAAACGTTTCCAGAGATCGTGTTCACTGATAGCGGTCTGTACACAGGAGGAGGATTCCGTCGGAAAGTAAATTCGACAGTAGCGAAAGGGAGGATGGGTGTAAGGACAAGTCGAAGATAAAAGCGAACTTTGAAGTTTCGAAAGGTAAACGAGAGTTTTAAAGGCGATTTACGCGACGGAAGCGGACGGCACATGAAAGTTTATCGCTTCTCAAGGCAGCTTGCCGGGAAAATTCGCCGTCGAAACGACGAAAACTTCCGCGCCCGCTTAAAAATCCGGACGCCTCCGCCTTTGTACTTGTCTTTGCACTTAATGGAAACTTCGACGACACTTCGATTTATCGATACGCGGCAGCCTTCCTGCGGCCGCCATCTTGGTGAGCTGAGACTCCTGTTGGTCTCCATTTTTATACGTTCTTCGAAATTATTTATTATTTATTTACATATTTGTTATTACCTATCGATATCGTTCATATGTTTATTTAACAAATCAATTTTGAAATATTAGACTTCCATATTGGATCCTCCATTGGTTACTATTTTTCTGATCCGATTGCTTTTATCGTATGTACACTATGTATATTCATTTAAAAAAGTAAATATAAAATTTTAATATGCATGCATTCTCGAAATTTATTTTATGGGAGTGTGAATGTAATTATTACATAAATTGGTAAATTTATAATAAAAAGATGGTGTAATATAATATGTAATTTGGATTTTATGGTTGCAGTGGCTTTTGGGATTGGTCGAAACATTCTGTACAAGTTTATTAATAATTTTACAGCCTTTGTATTACTCGAAGTGCACGGTTGCAGTGTTTAAAAATTGCGGCTTAACAAATACTGACATAGTAAAAGGGATGGATTTTTGGTTTGCATATCGTTAAAACTCCGTCGTCTAATACGGATAATTATCCCCTGCAACAATTTTTCGATGTTATGCAAATGCCAGAATTTACAAGCCAGCATCCTTGCGACGACCTTTGACGTACGACCACGTCTGACCATAAACGTATTACTTCCACTTGCACCCTGTTCCTCTCGCTTAAACATTATACTACCCTGCCTGTTAATGTAAATTCGTATCCGTGTTATCTCGTGTCCCCTGTATCACGTGTGCACCGCTTTAAACTATCCCAGATGACCATTCGTTTACTATTATTTATTACTATCGCGACTATTTCTTTCTATTTTTCTAGCGACCCTTAGAGAAAGCTAAAAATTATAATCAATATTTTACGAAATTTTTATGTAAAAAGAAACTAATAAATAAAAGTAATATCTTCCTAGAGCAAGATTTACGAGACTTTTATTCAAAGCGAAAGATATTTTTTCCAAATCCCAAAAAGGAAGGTACAATAACATTCAACCCGACAACGTAATAATGATAAATTTCGCACATTTTTGTAAAAACTCGAGTCAAGGGATTAAAACGTTTATAGAGAAAACACGCCAAGGAATGGAAGTGCGGGAAAAATTATATTTTCTTTCTCGAAAACGCGCGTTCCACGAGACAACACGTTCCACCCTTTCCATTTGGCGAATTTTTCGTAAGGGAAAGATAGCAATTCAAAGATTTTCTGCCATAAAGTCGGCGATATTTTTTAAAATAGTAAATCGTATATAAATTAACGCGTATTGTTACGTTATTTTAATTTTAGTATATTAATTAGTGGAATATTATAAAATGGCGACAGAGGGTGGCTGCATCTCGAGTGCAGAGGGTTAATATATCGAACGCGGTGGGAATGAAACATCGCGCCAAGGAAATATTTTAACGGTAAATCACGAGGGTTCCCGGGCCTGTAAAGTGACAAATAATTTCCCGAGAATTCATTATTACCAACGGCGATGGGTTTTCTCGCATGGAAGGTAACCGCCATAACGAGCCTGGTGGGCGAACGGTGCAACGATTTTCGATCGCGTCGCATCGATATGAGGTTTCGTCGTTGGAATTTAATAGCCCGCCGTAAAAAAATGGTAACGAGCATCGTGATATTAAATTGACTGAAAGTTTCCAGATAACAGCGAAATCGCGATTTCACGGTATAATATCGGCGCGTCGCCATCGTTTCATATTACGTCGAGTTATTCGTCGCTTGACCAACGATCCTTTACCGTCTTCTTCATTTTCTTCCAGTATTTTTCCCCGGTTATTACTTTAATCGAGATATGGGACACCTGGTAATCGGGAAACCGATAACACTGTCCAACAAATTTTAACTTTCCCTCTAATCTGTAATATCCATTAGGCGATCCTTGTGGCGTTTGCTTTCCCGTACACGAATCCCTAATCGAACTCCGTCACCCTCGATTCTCGAAAATTCCCCCTAATTTAGAAATATTCTAATTCCTAATTTTCAGGATAGAAAGGATTCTTTGTCCACCAATAATTTTTAGAAATATATGCAAATATTAATACAGTCGGAGCAATAATTTATTTTTCAAAAGAAGAAAAAGATGAACGTATGAATTAAACGAGATCATAAAACACGCGTAGGTACCAAAGACACGTGTGAATGTTTTTCACGATTTTGATGAATTCTTGCACAGAATGAAATAAAAAGTATACAGAGAGATAGAGAGAGAAAAGACACACGCGTGAAAGGAGAAATGTATGTAATTAAAAGGCACGTTTCGAGATGAGAAAATTAAGAGCAAGATGTTAGAGTTCAGAGTCAAGAGCCACGAATTCTATACAGATATTAAAAATTTTCCAGAATCTTGGCATAATCCTTATTATACAGCGTGTCTCAATTGAGGCAGGCCATTAAAACGTCTCCCTTGAAGAACATAAACAATTTCCAATGTGATTAAAGACAGTGGGGACATTTAAATGACTTCCCTCGTCTAAGACACCTGACATAATTACTACCATATGCTGCTACACGTCAAAGTTTGTCTACAACCGAAATTCCAACAACGTGGCAAAAAGTGAGAAAAATTGGGAAAATTAGGAAACGTTTCGTTACCCTCTCGGAAGGGGTGAAAAATATGTAAATTAGTCGCGGCTACGACTATGTTGTTCCAGCTATTAATTATTTTGTTCCACTTTCGCGAGATATTTTTTCCCCCTTTTTTACTTTTATTTTCAGTATTCGCGTTTTTATTCAGGTCAGCCATTCAGCCCGTGGAACGTGCTCGCGATACAGCGCTTCCTGTTAACGAGCTGTCGTAACTCGCGGTATTATTAGAATCATCTTGTTTTGTGCCTCGCGAGACACGCGTGATTACGCGCTCGATTCTACCCCAAGTTTCTCGCCCTTATCGTCCAGCGATTACGTAATGGAAAAAGTTTCCCCGGGCCATTTCGCGCGGGACCGATGAAAAATTCAAGCGGCTAACGGAAGCGCCGGGCCACCCCCCGCGATAAAGGCTAAATAATCACCCCCTTTCCGGAAGATACGCGGACCGGGCCAGGAATAATTAACGAACGTAATAAAATCGAACAGAGAATAACTAACGATCCCCTGAAAATCGAGGCACCCCAATTTTTACAGGGGTTGGAAATTTTTCGTCCTCGCTCCGAGAGCACCGCGGGCATGAAATAACCACAGGGTAATTAATATTTCGGTTCCCCTTTGCCGTACCAAGAGCTAACGAGTGCGTAATTAAATAATCATTTTTAATAATTCCCGGCTATTTTAATGATTCGAATAACGTTCGGAGGAACTACCACCCCTGTTCGTGACGGAGATGCCATATTTTCGTGGGAGAATTTTTGAAAAATATTTCGAAATCGCGAGTAATCTGCGAGATTAAAAATTTCGCGCGAAAGTTCTCCAAATACGAATCCCTGTTATCGCATCCATAATTTTTAAAAGCCTGTTAGTTTCTAGTAAAGCGGGAAGAATTTTTGTAAGAAATTAGAAATTTCGTGCTATAGAAATTAGAAATTAGAGTCCTCCAAATACGAACCTCTCTTATAACATCCATTATTTTTAAGAGCCGTTTAGTTCCTAGTAGAGTCGGGAGAATTTTTGCGAGAAATTAGAAATTTCGTGATATAGAAATTAGAAAGTCCTCCAAATACGAATCTCTTTTATGGCATTCATTATTTTTAACAGCCGTTTAGTGCCTAGTGAAGCTTTCTAAAATATAACAAATCCTAGTGGAAGGTAATAGCATCTACGAGAACCTACTGGAAATTGATAAAGTGAAACAGATCATAGCAGAACCTAATAAAGCGTAACAGATACTAGAAGAAGGTACTGAAAGCTGATAGATCCTAATAGAAGCTGACAATATGAGAAAAAGAAAGGGCGATTTCGCGGCTTGCAATGTGAGTACTCACTGTCGAACAAGATCAGCCTCCTGGCTACCACCCTGGAAGCCAGGGTGTTCGGCCTACTCGGCTTTTGCTGGTCCCCTGAATTCGGGGGCACGGCCGAGATCGGCACGCTACCGGTCGTGGCCGTGCCCTGATTCGCTTGCGGCTCACCGCTCGGCGATACCGCGCCATTTGCACTCTGTTCAGTCTTTTCCTTCTTCGGCTCTGCAACAGAAAAAAAAAATTCCGCACCGGTCAGAGCTGGGCGAGGACAACGGTACGGGGATCGCGCGAGCGGCTGCCCTTTATATCACATTTCTATTATTTTCCTCTTTTCTATTTTTATTTTTTTATTATTTCGGTTTCTATAATTCTATGACAAATTTTTCATGTTCTATATTAGCTCGCTTTATTTCGTCTCTTTAGCGTCTTTTCGCTCGTGTTTCGATAGTTCTCGAGACAGTTAGACTCCTGAAGGTGTCGGATGGGTCCTCTTGTTTAGATTAGCATTACGGTGTGCTTCGGATATTCGGTTCGGTTTCACTCTGAGTTTTCTCTGAGTTTTCTTTGACTTTTCCGTTTGCGGAAATATTTGGCTCCTCTCGGGTGTGGTATCTTTAGGGCACACTCTCGGTCTCGGAAGCCGGGGGTGGCGTCGATCGCACAGAGGTCTGCTACGTTGAGATCGTTCGTTGTAATCGTGGCATGGAATTGCAAGTAGAATTTGGCGCGATGCAATTAAGCTTACTATTATTGAAAATGCATAAAATTTATTTTTATCGTTAATTCTTGCGAATATTCTCAAGCTTTCGAATTGTACGAATTAAAATTGAGAAAGAATGCAATTTCGAGAAGAATCAACTACAAATCTGCAAAACTGTTTGTTATCAGTTACTGATATGGAAGAGACAATACAAATATTTATTCATAGATATTACGATACCACATACATTTAACAAACACATTTACTAACTAAACAAATCTCGATTCGCATTCTCTCTACCTACATAGAAGCACACTTATCTCAAAACACCAAGTTTCTACGTACAATTAAGCGATTACAAAACAACCAACGAAATAAGTACATTTTCAGGAGCTTTCTCAACATCTACGTTCAAAGCCTCGCATAAAAACAGGATCTTCCAATTTCTCAAATGATTTCAACCAGGAAATCACGCGAATTACGTCCCACCCCGAAAAGAGAAAGAACATGGCGGAACCGAAAAATCGGTAAGTACGTCCCCGACGTGTTTCACGTTAGAAACTGGGCTTTTTTATGGGGGAAAGAAAGGTCCGGAGACGGGTCGGCATTAAATCGTCGAAACTCTGCGCAATTTCGCTTCCTGACGTCGTTCCTCTTCATTATTTCGTTCGTCGCTCGTTTCACCGCGTTTCCACGAGTCACGTTCGGCTAACTCGGGAAATATCGCCGCGAGTACGCCTCGAAATTGCGATTTCCAACCACCCACCCCCTGCACGCCACGCCGCAACCCCGGGATAATAAGCTCGCGCGTTTAGGATTCACGCGTAAACTACCCTTTACGTCGCGTTCACCGGCCATAACGAGCTTTATGGCCGGGCTCGGGGAAAAAAGGAACACCGGTAACGCGTCCAGTTTACGCGGATTAGGCCATATTTGTTGCCTCCACGAATACGAGTGAAACGCTGTACAGATCTGTTTTTCGATCTTCCCGTTCCCGTTTTACCATTTTTCGCGCCACGAATCACGCAGCTCTCCGTTTTGACATTTAAACGCGACGAGTGTAGTCGTCGGATGTCCGAGGGCGAAGATATTTTATTAAATTATTTTCTAAGAAATTCGTTATGAATTTTCTATTTCAACCCTTTTTACAGAGGGTGAATATTTCTTGAGAATATCCCGATACGTGTTATCGCTACATGGAAACCATCGAAATTACCATTTCGGTTGTAGCGGTCGGAGAACGCGAAATGAAAAATATTCGAGGGCGGTAAACGATAAACGATCGAGGATAGAAATAAATCGGAGGATTGCCAGATGTTGGTTCGGATCGTTGACCAGTGGTTTCGCGTCACGATTTTACGATCTCGCAGTCTTTTTCGAGAGAAGATCGCGGAACGTCATCGGTGACTAAACTCCTCTTTTCTCGGGGAGATCTCGAAGGTAAACAAGTTCCGAGCGTGTCTCACGTTTTAAAAGAAGATTGGGAATATTGTCGAGGAAAATCGAGCTGGGATAGAGCTGTAGATCTCTAGGGTATTTTTGGTACTGCCCGAATATGTCATTCGGGGATCACGCGCTCGGAACAATTTAATAGTATTGCCCAAAAGCGATAGCCTAATTCAAATAGAATATTAAATAGAAACAAAAATTTACACACCCAACTAGGAATAAATTCAAAGAAAAATAACGTCGCGAGTTTTATTCGGAAAGAATTAAATTATTATTTTATTTCCAAGTAGTGTAGATCCGTCTTTGGTCAGACATTTCTAAGGATAATAGAATAAATCCGCCACAAGTCAGAAATAATTAATTACCTAATTATTCATAGAATTGGATTTTTTTAAATCACATGTAGAATAGTAGACAGTGAACAGAAATCAATAATTCTTGTTATTATTTAATTCAATATTATCGAGTCTCATAAATATGGGAACAATTGCGATTTAAAAAACACAGAGTAAAGAAAGAAAAGTTTGAAAAAAAGCATTTTGCCTATGGTTACTGACACATCGGACTATTGGATTGCCGATGTTTAACTGATATTGAAAATCACACTACTACTGAAAATGCCAGAGGCAAGGTATCAACGCTGCAACGCGAACGCAACTTAATTTCACTCTACGATGAGCGAAATTCGCGCGAACGGCCGAAATTGCTAGTCTAATTGTAAACAATTTAACCGAAATCGCGGGAACAAATAACGGACCGTCGAATGATTATTCGCCGGCGAGATGGGAACAGCCGATCCTGCTTTTTGATCAACTAACGCAACCTTTCCGTGTAATTACAGTAACCTAAATAATATTCCGTGCAAACATGCATCAATATTTAATTCGTTGTGCCAACATTTACGAGCAACAAACGGGGAGCAAAGAGGGCGGGTGGTATCGGGATAGAAATTTGCAAAATCGAATTTCGAACAATCGAAACACGAATCATCCACGAAATATGGAACGCGCGTCAGGGGCGAATTAAAATTATCAATCAAAACCACTCTTAATCAAACCAGACGCAGACGTTTCCCCTTCTCTTCAATTCCAATTCCACCGGTCTAACCTTCAAAGTGATAAATGGGCCGCCTAAATTACTGACAGCCACCCCGCGCCCCTCGTCCTCCAGTTACATCCCCCGACCGTTTCGATTACCCCATAGAGCTAATTAAAAATAACGATCCAGGTCTATTTCGAAGAGAAACCGATCTTCTCAGACAGCAGCGATAAAGAAACGGTGACAAAAGACAATTAATCGTCTCGAAATAAAGATTTCCTACGATTCCCAGTTCCCTATATATATACACAGGGTGACTCGATTAAACTGATCACCGAAGATATCCATCCAAGCTATTTCCTTTGCTATGAAAGTTAGGAAAAAATTCCAAAATGTTGTTTGAATGATTCCAAAACGTGCAAATTTTATGATAGCAAACAGAAATTTTATCAAGGTCGTGTTAATAGCTTTTTTAAGGACATCGACATTGTTTTGGATTATAATTAGCCTTTATTTGCAGTCGATATTAATATGAATTCAATGACATATAATAAGACAACGTTGAGTTAAAATTGGAGGAACTTAATTTATTGCTAAGTGATCAGAGTGCTGATCACCTGCATGAATATATTCTGCAGGTTTTGGAATAATTCACTTCTTTATCGCTTTCTCCTGTCTTTTATAATAAAGGAAACAAGGTAAATATCCCATTTAAATAAATCACCTTGTATATATAATTTTCCGATGTCTGTTCGTTAATTATAATAATTATTCGTCAAGCTACCTTTCGTTTATGCAACTAATTAAAAATGTCGACAAAGGCCTCTAACGACGGAGAATTTCACGAATTTTATCTGAAAATTCTATCTCCTGGTGTAATTAAAAATTTGTCAAACCGTGGTGGATAGATGTTGCATATGCATATATTTCAGACGGTGTGTCCAGGCTCATCTATGACCCTTCTAACGCTCTAACACTCGCCAATCAGGAAACGGTTTATGATTGCACGATCAAAAGAACTGTTCTAACTTGCAAAAACGTTTCGCGTAAAAGCTGTTAGCGCGAACCGAATGATTTTCAGCGGGAAAAACGCAAAGGAAAATCGCGGAGTGGGACATATCGTTCGTGACCGCAACGATCGCCAGAGCGAGAGGTTCGGTGACGGAGGTCGCGTGTAGCTGGTGACAAAATGGCGGAGGCGGGGTCGCGGGATCGAGGAAAATTCGATGGACGAGCAGAGTCGACGTGGTAATTAAAGGCTGCAGAGCTGCAAAGCCACGCGCGCGTCGTCGCGGCGAGGATGAAATCATCCCTATCCGGCAGTGACGGATCACCGCGCGAAACCAGATTTTCGTCGACCTTTCCCGCTGTCGGATTTCCCGCGCCGAGCAACTCGGCGCGCTGGAACGGTGCCAATGGAACCTCTAAAGGGGACCGTCGACGACGCCGACGCTGCTAATAACGTCAACAACGTGTAACGAGGTAACGCGGAACGAAGGTCGACGGATGAGGAAATCCGACGGGGTTAGGGGAAAAGCAGTGGCGAGGAATCACGAGGTATGCGGAAGATTCTGTTCGACGAATTACGTGATCCCTGAGATTTAATTCTTGGCTTCGTGTATTTTTCCTTTTCTCGCTTAATTTATTACTGAGAATTTTTCCATTTTCGCAAGCTCGGGAAATTTGTATTATTAGAACTTAAGTTTGGAATCTTCAACCCCCTGCATTAGGATTTAATTATGAAAAAGTATGCACTGAGGTAGTATTCAATTTTACTTAACCACTGTATATCTATAGTACCCCTATTTTCCATTCACGATAAGATTAGATTAAAATTTTAGAAATTCTTCCAATTTTGTGCACGTTAAAACGCATGAAATATAATTATGGTGATTACTATAACTCGCAATCGTTAGATTTGACACAAAGTACTCGTGACGAGATAGATTCGTCATTCTAGTATAAAGGGTTGAAAGAAAATAGAAATTATCGATAGCTAATTATCATCTCCGAGTCTTCATTGGTAGAGTACTAT